ACTCTCACAAAGGGTTTCCCCACCTTTTCTTTCATCGACCCTTTTTAAGAGAATTGTTTGTTTCATCGACATTATACAACATTTACTCGTATAATCATGTCGCAGAGAATTGCACTTAAATGCCATAAAGATAACAATATCATAGACCAATATTCTCACAAATATGTCAATTGTCAATATCGCTTCCGCGTTTGAGTAGCTGAGTTTATAATCATATTTTGATGCAATGATTTGTTTTAAGAATTGGCAATAACATTTCTCCAGTGCGTATTGCGGAGAGTTCTTTCTTGTGCAAAAGTGTACGATCGTTGTAATTTCTTGAGAGTTAATATTAATATCCTAACTTCTATGAAACAACGGCAGATACGAAAGAAGAGGAGCGAATTTGTAAGTTATTGTTATAGTTTTTTGTTTTATGCCCGAAAACAATCGCATTTTTTTATAATTGGTGTCTTGAACATACTGATTAGGCACCAATTCATATTCGGTTATCAAAAATAGGACCATTACCACTATCTTTACAATTCTTTGCTACGTACGAGGATAAGAATGGAAGACAAAATTTCAAGCAGTTTCGGTGATAATTGTTTTAAATTATTTTAATAGCGCCCATCTTTCACCTAAAATTACGCAAACATGTAATAAATTATTAAAGATTCAATCACATGTGGTAAACTGATTTCAACGCCGAGATTTGAATGCTGACCAGCCAAAACGAAATAATATTCTACGTAACCTTTGTGTGAAGGCCAAATAATTTGATTAGTTTTAAGTATAGTATCAAAATATATTCCAAACTATAAGGAAAATATTTTCAGTAAATGTTAAACAGCTCAACATATGTAAAAATCATCGTAAGTTTTCTTGTAAATAATATTTTGGTGGAATTGTTTTTAATAGTTATTGCTTGATAATCCAATTTCTATGTCGTTATTGTTTGTGTATATTTATGTATTTTTGATGCCCTATTTGAAATATTAATTGAAGAAAATATTTCCAATTAAAAATATACGAAATTCTTTTCGTATTATAACAAATACATTAATGTCCTGTTATTGCAGTAGTAACATTCCCCAGAGAGTTTCCCGTTAAAATTGTTATTAAAACATTTGAAAATTTCTATTGCTAGACACACAATAAAAATCATTAACTCATGATAAAAATTTCTGTGACACGTCCGTCTTGCAATCAAATAAGTAGACAGCGTGAGCAATAAAAATATACACTTATTTTGTAGTAGACCAAGAAGAGACAGGTTTTTTTAAAGATTCCTCATATTCCGGTATTTAATAAAATCTTGTTACTTTACTTTCGAAGTTAATAATTATTTATTGTTGTTTTAAATGTTCGTCATGCTATCTTCAGTTAAGGTCAAATGAACTTTACAACAAAATTAATTAACATTATGAAAGCACTCTCACAATATTTAATTAATGCAAAAGTATTTTCGAGTTATTAGACTGTTTACCTTAATTATCCAATGACCAGTGACGTTGCGTCTACCGTTGATGGAAAAAGTCACATCCTGCGCGGCACCTTTGGAGCAGACTTCAGAAGCGACAGGAATTCTCGACGACGTAATAACTATGGCGGCCACTAGTACTGCACAAACAAGAAACAGATCAAGTTTATATTGAATTTTCTGATATTGATGTTTGCATTCCAAAATAATAAATAATTCTGAAATGAATTGAGAGCAAAATCCTAATTCTCATGACATGTTTCATTTCTATTACTAACAAGGGTATCTGGTTGGAATTTTTCTGAACTTTAAGAACACTTCAAAAATTCACAAAAATCAAGTGAGCAAACTGAAAGCGCATACATTGTAATCTCATTATTTGCAGCAAACTTCCTCCGGAAATAATTTAAAAACTGAAAATTACAAATTTCGTCAACTTAAACAAGTGAACTAAAATATCAGTGACAAGTGACACAGCGATAACACAAACTAGAAATAAACTACTTAGCAAATATTAATAGAATGGATATTTCTCAATTTTTAATGCTAGTAATATATATTGTTTGGTACTTCTAAAATGAATAAAACGTTCATACAATGACCACCTAAAACGATATTTTGTAACCAGAGTCCTCGATTCCTTGCAATCGATGTACTCAACAAAAAACAAAACAAAACAGAGGGAACGCAAGTAACACATTAACAAATAGGTACAGGTATAGGGGAAGACGATGACTGCAAAAATTCAAATTTTTAGTTTGGTTAAGTGGGGAAGAGGTAGAATAATTGCCCAAATGTACACACAAGTTTTTGGGGTGGTTAAAAAGCAGCACAGCAAAGGAATAGACAAAGAACTGAAAAAAGCAAAAATACTCCAGAAAACACCAGACTTTTGAAACGTCAGAGGAAGAGGAAGAAGGTAGAAGAATTATATTCGTCCCAAGAATCTGAACATCGTCAGGACAGTTGTGACAACATCAGATGATTTGAATCTAGTAAGTGATCTACTAGGTAAAGAAGACTCGATTAAAGAAGCAGCTACCAAAATACTGTTTATTATGACTTTGTTATAGCCTGGTTTGAAAATAAGAGATCGTTTGTTAACTTTGTAGGCCAAGTTGAGACAAAACGGGCAATAGTGATCATTTCCTCCAGTTTATGAACAGGCAACCTGTTAACTTTTTCCTGACGAATAAGATAACGGTGGAGTTGATGTGCCCGATATTACACAGCCAACATTTAGACACGGACCAACAAGAACATCAGGCCGTTATACATTTAAACATTTACTTTTGATTTTATGGATAATCTGAAATTCTTTAAATAAATATAAGGGTGACATACGTTTCATTTTGATTTTGGACGTTCTGACATTCCTTATAAATAAATTGTTTTTAAATTTGGAATTTGGATTTTTTTAAATAAACATAAAATGGTTTGCTAATTCATATCTAGGTAAAATATTCAGTGGCAGTTACTTTTCCCCACTTTTTCAAACGTATCAACGAAAGCAGTAATCAAACATCTGCTTAATAGGCCCTTTAGAGCAGGCGTGTAATGCTTTTGGAATGTTGTAAACCTGTATGCTAAAATGCTTTAGAATATGAAACCAATACTGTTATTTCAAATACGAGAAACACAATATTGGTGAGTCGTTCAATGTCCATGCATTAGTTCATACCTCGTATATGTGTATATTTCACATTTCCCTCCCGGGCTCGTATCCCCACAAAACATAGTTGCCATGACTTATTACCCAATCCTCGTATTAAATAAAACATAGATTAAAAACCTCTCTTACTCGTACCTGAGATTATCAGCATGATGTCTGCAACTTTCGCTAGTCCGCCACTGGTGTGGCACTCAAGGCTTCTACTGGCCTTGTGCAGCGCTCGCCAGATCTCGCTGCGTGCATGAATGCCCACTTCCTTCTCTGCGTCTCGTCTTGTGGGACACATTCCAGATCTTGTTTGTCTTTCGAGGAAATGTGCACAAAAACACTGGGATGATTTATGTTTCATGAATATGAAAAAGTAGAACGATCTAATATCAATAAAAAATGTGTCTATTTTTCCATTAGGAGACATGTTTGATACGCTTTTTCTGCGCAATTTTTCTTGACAAAATTTCAAACAGTATTATATTGATATTATATTTAAAATAGCGCATTTAGACATCTTTATTTCCATTCAAAAAATAAAAAACACAAGTCTTCTAAATAGAATACTGGGCGTCTTGCAACAGGACACTTGTGATATTCAGAGAGACACCGTATATCGACAGAAAAGTACCGAGCCATATGTGTATAGTTAAGATCATAAAACACACTTGCTGAGCAAAAGAACTAAATTTAAACAGTTTTTACGATTTAAATCTTTGATGAAGAGATACCACGTAAGAGCTACAAAACATTAGGTAAGGTTCGTTCAATCCACTATGTTCACAAATAATTTTGCATAAATTACATGAAAACTTTTTTTTCTTAAAAAGCTACATGACAATATTTAAAGAAGTTATTTTGAAAATCAACTTCTATCAAAAAATTATATTAAATAATATAGAGAAGGCGATCGAAAACATTTTTAAAGTTTCCTATTTTCAAAAATTCCAAGGTTTTACTGAAAATCGAACTTATATATTTTTATAATAACACTTTTCTCTATTCACTCAAAAATTTAAAGAACACATTTTGGCCCATTTTCCACAACGCTTTAAAAATGTCGTTGGTACTTCATGTAAAGTACTCCCAGTAAATATATTTCTACATTTCTAATTCTAGAAACGACATACAACGGTGCAAGTTCAATTTCGGCGAACTATATTTTCGAAAATTGGATACAACAAATTAACTTTGCCACACTACAATACTGATCAGAGATTTTTTCCTTACTGAAATCTGTTCTTTAAAACTAGGTCTTGAAATAATGTAAATGGAAATTGCATTTGAAATCGCCGGAAATCGGTTATTTATTGTCAGAATAACTCTTATTTCCTGGCTCGGGTAACGAAAAATGGGTAAATCTTTTGCCTCCATGTAGTTCGTTATTTTCTCTAATACGTTGAGTAGACAGAATCCATCTTTTATGAATCCTTGATACCAATTACAATGAATCCAAGATAGGCAATCGCACAAATGGTTCAGTATTGGATATATATTCCCCAAAACCGAGGAGTTCGTGTGTAATAGAAGACCAAGTAATTTCAATGAAAAAAATTTCTAAAATACTGCAATGAGTCGTAATTAGGTGTTACAAGTATTTCATCCATCTTTGACGTCAATACAACTATAGACACGGCCTACCGGAATAGAAAATTAAATGTTGACAATGTTTGATATCACGGAGACTGCCGACCTGAGAAGACAAACGAAAACCAACGAGCAGAAAGGAAATATACACTTCATGAGTGAAAACGTAAAGTTTATCAAAATGTTCTTATCTGAGCATTTTCATTTCTTCAGTCGGTTTCCAAGTGTTAAATTTCCTGAGTAGCCTCGAGCTTATTTCGAGTTTAACTTTATTTTATTTTCATGCATTGTGGTTTAATACACCATGTTATTTGCTAATATCAATATATTCTGGCATTATATTGTAAAGTATACCTGAAGACGTTACGAATATAGCTATGAAACGTTGCAAATGTTTGTCTTAAATAAATGATTGTAAAATACAGAGGAAATACTCCTTATTACTAATATCAATAACATTAACAATCCGAGTGAATTTTTCCATCTGCAATTTCTACAACCACAATAATAATAATAATAATAATAATAATAATAATAATAATAATA